AATCGCCGGCTATTTTAACTGTACCATTATTTTTGAGAATTGGCACTATGGGGGTGGCGTATTTCGAATGATTAATAGGAACTAATATCCCCAAGCGCACTAACCTATCCAACTCGGCTTCTACCTTAGCTTTGAGCGCGAATGGTACCGTTCGAGGTTTGAAAAACTTTGGTACAGCATCCTCTTTTAATTTTAAATCGACCTGAAATTTTGTGAATGACCCTAATTCGTCACGCCACAGATCTGGAAATTGTTCTAGCAAACTTTGAACATCTTTATCGGTATAACAAATGTTATGAAGACCCGTGGTAAACGTTACACCGAAGGCGGACATAAAATCTCGACCGAGAAGTGGAGGGCCACCGTTTTTAATAACAAATAATTTTAAGTTTTTTTGTTGTTGATTAAAATTTGCCTCGATATCAAAATACCCTTCCGGTGAAATTTTATGTCCGTTATAAAGGCACATTTTGATGTTACATTTATTTAACTTGTACTTCGAAAACAATGTATCGTATAATGATTTTGATATCACTGATGTCCCAGAACCAGAATCTAACTCCATTGTTATGCTCTTGCCACCTAGCAATAATTTTAAATTAATCGGTTTATCAGACACGTACTTTAAACTATAATTATGACATTCCTCACAATGGTCAGGATCCGGAATGTGGCCGACACCTTTATCGTGGTCATCACAAATATTATTGATCTGCACATTTTTGTCACACACTTTTTTTAAATGTCCCTTTTCACCGCAGTTCTGACAGCGATAGCCCTTGTAACGGCACTTCTCTTCATCGTGGTTTCTTAACCCGCAAACCGAGCACCTTGGAAAGTCACGACGTGGTTGCTGCCCGCGAACTGATTGACCATCACCAAGGTGGGACCGCTGCCGCTGCCCTGAATAACCACTGCTTGGCTCACTCGTCCGCGCTCGTCGATTAGCTTCACGTCTATCGTCGAGCGTGAAGGAGGCACGGTACACAGGTTCTTCCTTAACACTAGCTTCCATGAACTTAGCCTCCCTCGCACTCTCTGCCTGCTGGGCTATTTCTAACGCTCGATCGATTTTCATTTTTGATGGGTCCTGCTCGTACAGCTTATCTCGTGCTGGACCTGAGCCCAGGCCTAGGACAAAACGATCCGTAAGGTTCGTTTCCAAAGCCGCGCCGAATTCGCAATAATTTGCCAACCCCCTAAGTCGCGCCGCCCAGTCTCCTAATGATTCGCCTGGTGTTCTCGTAGCCCCATAAAAACGAGCCTTGTCGGTATATGAACACTTCTTTGGCTTAAAATGATTATCGAGTAATGAAACCAGCTCCACATACGAAAATGAATCAGCATCTTTGGGGTATGCTAAATTTCGCACTAGACGGTACGCCTC